GACCGCCTCCACGTCGGGCGCGCCCACGGAACGCTCGCCTGAGAAGCCCCGCGCCACCAGCGCCGCCTTCACGCCTGGGTCCAGCAACCCCGCCAGGTCCCGCTGGTGCACCCGCTGCCAAAACATGCTGCCCCAGGGGGTGTTCCCGCTCGTCGCCGCGAAGCCTTCCAGTTCGGCCCTGACGGCCGCCGCGCAGGCGCTGGCGCTTGTAGGCACCGCCGTGCCCGCAGTGGCCGCGCAAGTGGCGGGCTCGGCTGTGCCGGCCGCCAAGCCTGGCGCGGGCGGCAGCACGGGCGCCGTCGGCGCGGGGGCCCTGCCCTGGCTAACCGAAATCGGCCCAGGCAGCCCCCGTCGACCGCCGAAAGCGTGGCAGGCGGCCTGGCCTCCGTCTGCCGACGCCGCGGGGGCCCAAGGCGCGGGCCTTGTTCCCAGCGCGGGCCCGATCGCGAAGGGCGGCGGCGGCGGCAGGCCCAAGCTGCCGTGCACCGGGCCGCCGCCGTCCGAGCCGCTGTCGGCGGGCGCGGTCGTGGCCTCGCCGTGCGTCTCCAGCTTGGCCAGCTGCAGGGCGGCGAGCTGAGACCGCAGCTGCTCCAGCTCGTCCTGGCCGTCACGGTGGCGGCAGCACCAGCCCCAAAGCCCAGCGCGCCAGAGTGTGGCGTTCGAGCCCGCGACCGCGATCACCAGCGTGAAGCCCAGGCGCTGCACCGCCTCCCTGCCCGTGTCGGCGCGCAGCGCGCCGCTCGAGCCGAGGCCGACGAGCAGCGCGGTCGTGGCAGCCCAACCGAGTGCCCAGAGACGGCTTGGACAACTCGGCGTGCCAGCAGGAGCCTCGGCCTCCGAGATCGCTGGCGAGAGAACCATGTTCGTGCTACGCTGGGGGGGCCAAGCCCCCCCTGACTTCGTTCGAAAATCATTGTGCCTGGTTCGACCCCAAAAAACTGCGGAGGGGAGATCTGCAACCACTCACATTGAGTAACACTCACTACTCTCATTCTCCAATCATTATCATCATCATCGTCGTCGTCGTCGTCATCATCATCCTCATTATCATCATGATCACCATCGTCATCATCATCATCATCAGCAGCAGCAGCAACATCGACATTAACATCATCATAATCACTATCATCATGATCGACATCATCAGCAGCATCATCATCACCCTCATCATCATCACCACCACCATCATCATCATCATCCTCATCGTCCTCCTCCTCCTCATCATCATCATCACCGCCGCAACCATCATCATCATCATCACCACCATCCCCATCCTCATCCTCATCCTCCTCCTCCTCCCCATCATCATCATCACCACCACCACAACCATCATCATCATCACCATCCTCATCCTCATCCTCATCCTCATCACCATTCATCATCATCATCCTCATCCTCATCCTCATCATCATTCATCACTCTTCATCATCATCACCATCATCAGAATCATCACCATCACCATCCTGATCCTCATCCTCATCATCATCCTCATCATTCATCATCATCATCATCCTCACCCTCATCATCATCATCATCATCATTCAACATTCATCATCGTCATCACCATCATTATCCTCATCCTCATCCTCAACCTCATCATTCATCATCGTCATCATCATCATCATCATCCTCATCCTCATCCTCATCATCACTCATCATCATCATCATCATCCCCATCACCATCCTCATCCTCATCCTCATCCTCATCATCATCCATCATCATCATCCTCATCATCATCATTCTTATTCATCATTCATCAGCATCATCATCGCCATCATCATCCTCATCCTCATCATCATCCATCATCACCATCATCATCCTCATCCTCATCTTCATCATCATGCATCACTCATCATCATCACCATCCTCATCCTCATCCTCATCCTCATCATTCATCATCAGCATCCCCATCATCATCCTCATCCTCATCATCATTCATCATCCATCATCATCATCACCATCACCATCATCATCCTCATCATCATTCATCATTCATCATTCATCATCATCCTCATCACTCATCATTATCATCATCATCATCATCATCATCACCATCCTCATCCTCATCCTCATCCTCATCCTCATCCTCATCCTCATCATTCATCCTCATCCTCATCCTCATCCTCATCCTCATCCTCATCCTCATCCTCATCCTCATCCTCATCCTTCCTGCCATGCCCTCTCCGACCCCTCTGCCCGCTCAGCCTCTGGGCAGGCGGCGCTCCCCCGCGTGCGCGGGTGGAGCGGCGCAGACGCCCGTCGTGTTCTGTCCCGTCCCTCCGCCCCTGCCCGCCCCAGCCTGCCCTGCACGTCCTGTCTCCTCCCTGCCCCGCCCCCTCCCTCCCTTCCCCCCTGTTTCTCCCCTCTGCCCGCCCCGCCCTCTCCTGCCTGCCCTGCCCTGCCCTGCCCTGCGCTCCCCCCCCCCCTGTGCAGCCCTTCTCCCCCTCCTCCCCCTCCTCCTCCCCCTCCTCCCCCTCCTCCTCTGGCAGCCAGCGAGGCAGCGAGGCAGCTCGCTTGGTACGGACAGCCAGTGAGGCACCTCTGGCGCGACGCCGGGGGGCTTTTCCACCCGCTTGACAACACGAGGGGCTTCGACCAGGGGGACCCGCTCTCGCCCGCGGCCTACTCCGTGGCGCAGAGAGTAGCTCTGGACGGCTTTCAGACCGAGCTGCTCCGCCTGGACCCGCAAGCGAAGCTCCACAGCTACCTGGACGACACCTACCTGGTGGTAGACGCCGCGCTGGCCGCGCTCGCCTTGGAAGCCTTCCAGCGGGCGCTCCACCCCCTCGGGCTGAAGCTGAAGCTGGCGAAGACGGCCGCCTGGTCCCCAGCCGGGCGCGCCGTGCTCACGCAGGACCTGCAGGCGAGCTGGGTGCCGAGCCTGCCTGTGCTCGGCAAGCACCTGCGGCCTCCGGGAGACGCCGAGAGCAGCGCGCCCGCCGCCCTAGGGGTGCCGGCGAACAGCTTGTCCGAGGCTGGGCGGAAGCTAGAGACGCTCTGGGGGGAGCTGAAGAAGCTGCAAAAGGCCGGACTCAAGAAGCAGGCAGCGGCAGCCCTCCTGCGCGCTTACGCGGGCCCAGCGAGCCAACACTCGTTGCGGATGGAGCTCTCCCAGGACTCCGCGACGCAGCAGTACGACGATCTGCTGACGGGCTGCTGGAGGGACCTCCTGGAACAGGACCTCGACGAAGCGGCCGTGGAGCTCCCGGGCCTACCGGCCAGGTTTGGAGGCCTCGGCGCGCAGCTGGCGGGCACGCGGCGCCACGCGGCCTTCCTCGCCTCCTGGTCAGCCGCGGCGCAGGAGGTCGCAGAGGATGGAGCGGCTGCCGCGGGCGGCCCAGCAGCTGGAAACGGCGCGGCGCGGACTGCAGGGCCAGGGGCTCGAGCTCGCGCCAGGGGGGGACTTGGCGACTGCGCTGCAGACGCCCCTGAAGCAAGGCTTGGCCACGGAGAAAGTGCAAAGGACCCAGCGCGCAGCTCTGCTGCGACGCTTGCCCCCTCCCCCCCTCCCCGACAGGCCGAGCTGCGGGGCGCAGCCGGAAGCGGCAGCGCGGCCTTTCTGGCCTACCCGGAGGACGACCTCTGCTCCCTCGAAAACGCGCTCTGGCAGGCAGGGACGCGGCGGCGGCTGCAGCTCCCGCGCGCCGAGCTCAGCCAGCGGGAGCTAGCGACCGCGCCGGCTGCCTGCTGCCTGCGCGCTGCCGACGGCGCTGGCTGCCACGGGGCACTAGACGACGGCGGCTACCATGCCCTGACCTGCCAGGTGGGCGGGGGCGTGGTGGCGCGACACGGGGGCCTCAACCGGAGGGTCGGGGTTCTCCTCCACCGCTGGCGCGGCGAGCGGCACCTCGTTGAGCAGAGAGTGCCGACTTGGGACCGCCAGCACCCCGACGGCAGACTCGAGCGCGCGATCCTGGACCTGCAGTACCAGGACGACGACGGCACCCACTGGCTCGACGTCTCCGTCCGCCACCCTGCAGCCGGCACGCAGGCCGAGCTGCGGCTGGCCGCGCGCCGGGACGGCGAGGCCAGCAGGCGCGGCGAGCGGGAGAAGCACGCCCGCTACCCCGGCGACCGGCTGACGCCCTTCGTCCTCGAGGCGGGGGGGCGGCTCGGCGCCGAGGGCCGCCTCTGGCTGCTAGGGCAGGTGCGGCGCTTGCCCGAAGACGAGCAGCAGCGCGAGCTGGCGCGGGCCTACAAAGTCTTGTCCTGCGGCCTGCAGGCGGCAACACTGCGCCAGCTCCGGAAGGCGGCCGGCTTGCGCTAGGCGGCGCGCCGCTGGCTAGCGGGCGGAGCCGCCGCGGCGGCGGCAGCAGCGCGGCTCGACACCGGTTTTGCGAGGCCGCCGACTGACGCGCTGGCGCGGCGGGGCTAGTGCAGGGCGGCGCCGACAGCCGCATGGGGCCGACGTGGAGCTGGCGGCGACCCCAGCAGCCCGTGTCGGCCCACGGGGGCCACTGGAGACGCTGGAAGGGCGAGCGGCGGCTCGGGCGGCGGCCGGCGGCTGGCTGCCGCGCGCCGCGGCCAGGCGACCTGGCGCGGCGCGGAGAGCGGACGGCGACTCCCTCGCACACAGCGGCACCGGGCCCGGGGGCCCCTGCAGCTGGCCCGACTTGCCCGGCGGCGGCCACCAGCGCTGGACGGCCTCTCGGCGCGGCGCAGCTCAGCCGCAGCGCGCTGCCGGGGCGCGCGGCCGTGGCCGGTCGAGGTGCTCTATTTGGACTACCAGAGGTATCCATGGTGCTTCCGCCCTCTCATACCACCCTCTGGTGAGGGTCGCGCGGATTTTTACGAGGCTTCGACAGACTCGCCACCTCCTCCTCCTCCTCCTCCTCCTCCTCCTCCTCCTCCTCCTCCTCCTCCTCCTCCTCCTCCTCCTCCTCCTCCTCCTCCTCCTCCTCCTCCTCCTCCTCCCCCTGCATGCCCCTGGACGCGAGGCCGCCCGGGACACCTGCTGGGGAGGGGCGGCGGGGGGGTGGATGCGCGCTGGGCCCGCGGCGCGCTGGAGCAGCGCCTTCTCCCCCTCGGCCTCGTTCAGCACCGTCAGGCGCCGGATCTCGAACACCATCTCGGCCTCGCGGGAGGGGCCCAGAGGCGAGGAGGAGGAGGAGGACGAGGAGGAGGAGGGCGAGGAGGAGAACGAGGAGGAGGAGGACGACGACGAGGACGAGGAGGAGGAGGAGGAGGAGGAGGAGGAGGAGGAGGAGGAGGAGGACCAGTGTAAACCCAAGAGTCTCCAACGATGTTGGAATAAGCCCTCCAGGAGGGCCGGGATGCGGGGGAGGCCCAGAGACCCGACGTTCCCCTCAAAGATGGGAGCGGCAGGCTCTCGGGCCGTGTGCGGCCTTCGGGGGGTCCTCGCTGGGCCTCGGGACCGTCAACAAAAAAGACTCATGAGTCTTCGGAGACCCTCCAGGGCGAAAAGCGAGCCCCAGGGACGTGGTCCAGACGTCTGGGCCCCACGCGTCGAAAAAACGTGGGATCGGCTGGATATCTGGGGGGAGAAGGGCAGCTTCTATGAGGCAAGTCCTCCGTCCACTGCCTGCCCGCCCCTCCCACCGCGCTCGGCCTCGTGGGAGACGGGAAGGCTGGATGCGAGGAGAGAGGGGCAGCGTCCATGAGGCAAGTCCTCCGTCCACTACCTACCCGCGCCTCCCACCGCGCATTGACGGGCAGCGTCCATGAGGCAAGTCCTGCATCCACTACCTATCCGCGCCTCCCACCAGGCCTTGACGGGGAGCAGTGCGTTGCTGCGCAGGGGATGGGGGGAGGGTATCGAAGGGGGGGGGGAAAAGGTGTGAGGCGAGGCAGGGGGAGGATGATGAAGAGCGGTGCTGGTGGTGGATGGCCAGCACCTCCCCGAGGGAGGCCCTGACCACTGGCCCGGGCGCGCCGCTCGCCTGCCACCGGCCGGAGGCCCGCCGAGTCGCGCACGAGCCACGCCGTCCGCCCAGCGAGCCCCCCGCCGAGCCGAGCGCACGCCGCGCCATCCTGGCATCGCGGGGGCCGGCCGCACGCGAAATCGACCCCTGAGCCGCGGCGGCCTCTGGCGCGCGGCCCCGGCCCGCGGGGGCGGCCAGGGCCCGCGCTGCGGCGGCCCGCGCTGCGGCCCGCACGCGCAGCCGAGGCCGGCAGGGCCAGGGCTCCCTCCACGGGGGCGCCGCGGAGCGGGGCCACGGGCCTCGCCGCACGCCCCCGTCTGCCGCGGCCCCGGCCTGCGGAGCCCGGGGCCCCCCCCACTGCGCGGGGGCCCTCGCTGGCCGTGGCCCCGCCTCCGGCGCGCGCCCTGGCCCCAGAGGCCTCTCGCGCGCGGGCGACCCTGCTCCGCGGCCCTGTCTCCCAGGGGGGGGGATAGGCGGGGAGGGCAGGAGCCAGAGGCGAAGATGGCCAGGGGGGGGTAGCAACGCCCGCACCCAGAGGGCGCTCGTGGCCCATGCCTGTGGCGAGGCCCCCCCAGGGATGCGTTGCATGCCCGCCCCTGGGCCGTTCGCCCCCGCCGTCGTCTCCCCAGACACCCAGCCGCTCCACTTTTGTCGACGCGCCGGGCCCTGGAGGCCTGGACCAACTCCCCAGGGCCGGTGCTTCGCCCCGCATCTTCTTCGGAGGGCCCCGAGGCCCAGCGAGGGCCCCCACTAGCAGAACGCGGCCCCAAACCCGCCGCTCCAATTATCTTGAAGCGGGTTGCCGCCCGACGTCTCCGGGCGGCCACAGCGCACCCAGCGGCCCCAGGCCCCGACCGCAAGGGCTCGCTGCGCGGGCGGGCTTACTCCGCGGCCCTGCGTCCCTGGAGGCGTAACCGGCAGAGAAGGGCAGCAGGGAGGCAAGGGGAGGGGAAGGGCCACTTGCGTCGTCGTCGAGGCCGTCGGTAAGGAGGGGAAGGGAGGGGAGGGGAGGGGAGGGGAGGGGAGGGGAGGGGAGGGGAGGGGAGGGAGGAGGGGAGGAGGGGAGGAGGAGGAGGAGGAGGGGGAGAAGGAGGAGGAGGAGGAGGAGGAGGAGGAGGAGGATCTCCTATACCTCCTTCCTCCTTCCTTGCGAACAGGGGGTAAACCGCCTGCAAGGCCTAGAGGCGAATGCTCACCTCCTCTTGCCCCTCTCTCCCCCCTTTTTTGGCTTCCCTTCCTCCCCGTCCTCTCGCCTCTTCCTTGCCTCTGAGTGTTCGCCTTCTGGAATTACAGGTGGGGCCCTTACCACCCTGGCTGTTCTGGCCCGGCGCCCCACTTCTCAACTCCTAACCAAGTCATTATGTTACTTCGTTTCATACATCTCGCTTTTCACCTTTTCCCAAAGACGCCCCCACCCCCCCCGCAGGGCTTAGCCGTGGGAAGGTGGCAGGACAGGTTTGCATGGCCACAGGATCACCCTCGACCGCCATGAGTAGCAGCAGGAGGAGGAAGAGGAGGAGGAGGAGGAGGAGCAGGAGGAGGAGGTGAGGAGGAGGAGGAGGAGGAGGAGGAGGAGGAGGACGAGGAGGAGGAGGGAGGGAGGAGGAGAGGAGGAGGAGGAGGAGGAGGAGGAGGAGGAGGAGGAGGAGGAGGAGGAGGAGGAGGAGGAGGAGGAGGAGGAGGAGGGGGAGGAGGAGGAGGAGAAGGAGGAGGAGGAGGCGGAGGAGGCGGCCTCATGGGCCAAGATGAGCAGAGCATCCGACTTCCACGAAGCTTGCCTATCGCCGCGCAAACCAAACAGATACCACGACATGCACCTACCCAGTGGTTGGATCGCCTACTGTCAGCACGCCGACGATGCAGACGAGGAAGTCCAAGGAGAAGACCAGTGGCACCATGCAGTACACTACCACGAAGCAGCCAACACATACACATGCATATTCCCTAGCGACGACCTGCTACTGCCTGGATGGCCCAGATACCTCAACCAGTACAACAATGATATCTTCGCCCACCAAGACAGCAAGCAGTACCTACCACACCCACCACTACGACCCGACTCCCAAGCCACGTCACTACCAACTTACACACTACCTGTTGCGACCTGCACACAACTGATCAAGCTGAAAAACACCGTCAAAGCAGACACACACACACCAACCACTGCACAGACGGCCCAAGCATCCAAACTTCTCACGATACGGCAACGACTTGCATGCATTCGCGGCACAATATCGTGACAGCCTAACACTTGGAGTACAAATCGTCCTCGCAGGAGGACATGCACCGCTCGACAATGTCAAGATCGCCGCCATACAGGAAGTCACACACTGGCTCAACTCCTGCCACGACGAGCATGGCATCATGAAGTACAATTGGGCAGCATGCTTACGCGACACAGTGGACCTATCACAACAAATTTGTAACCCATATGGTCCAAGGCCACACCCCACCAGCAAGCACGACGAGCGACAGCTCCAACGACGAATACAGCATTGCCAGCACAATACAAAAGGCCCAGCAAACATCAACCAAACCACCGCCACCATCAGCGCAGCCCATCATGCTCAAGCTGCTCGCACACACGCTACCACCATCTCGGACAGCTAATGGCGCCCCGACCAGCCCAACACATACAGCCGACAACACACACAACCAAGCAGCGGAGCATCAGACTACACGGCAGCCCACACAACCGAAGGTACTAGCACAACCAGCAGCCGCAACGCAGGACAACTCAACCCACACGCAACCCAAACAGAACACGATCCCAAGGAAGCCCATGCCAACTATACACATCAGTAAGACGACCACGACAATTACAACTGCACCACACCAGCGACCCTACAAGCCACCTCCAGCCCACTTGGACGAACTAGCCGATCAAGCCGCACAACAGCTGCCGAACACGCCCAACGCCAACAATGCAACAGCATCGACAATGACACCCTCGCCTACACTCACCGCAGTGATCAACTGGTCACCATCGTACATCTACATGCTGCCACACCCACCACTACCTGCACTTATGACACCTATCATACACCCACCAGAAGAGGACATCGACACACAGCAGTGGTCACACGACATCCCCTGGCGGCAGCCAGCACCGCAGCCACCGGCGACGCCACGCGCCGGCTTCCCGACGCAAGCCGCCCAAGCGATCGCAACGCACCAAGAAGCATCGCGACGCGGAGTGCAACAGATACACAGTTTCAATCGACGCCTTCGTCACGAAGGCTGGTGACCCCGCACTCCAGAACTACATCGACAGGCGACGCGCGCGCCAAGCCCGCTACGAGATCTACCTCAGCAGCGTGAACGAACACACACGTGGAGCACCATTCAGGGAGCCCCCACCCAATCGCATGGCAACGATGCACAAGGCCGCCCCCAAGCCCAAGCCGACAACCACCACAACGAGCCAACAGAATCAGACATGACGACCGAACTGTGCCACTCAACACATGCGGCAAACTATCGCAACATCCTCAACCAGTACTCCAGGTGGGTCAACTACCGCATAAAGACCCCTTACTAATAAGGCACCACGACCATGCCAGCAATCAGACAATCTACTTAGACCACTGACTCGCAGTGCACTCCTCCTCCTCCGTCTCCCTCGCTGCTCTTTTGACGCGTCAGTGGAACTCAATACTTGTAGGTTTGGGGTGAACCTATAAAACCCCGGGTAGCAGCCCTAGGATTGTTTTTTTCGTGCACCTACTCACTGCACCTCCCGCCATCTTCGCGCTATCACCTTGTTCACTCTCTGCAGCCGGCCTAGATAGCACCTATTCGACGTGCGGGGGTGGAGCTGCGGTTGGGCGCGAGGAGGATGCGGAGGGCGCGGTTCGACACACATGGTGGCACTCTCTTCTTTGCAAATTCGGGCTATCCTAAAAAAACGGGTAGCAGCCCTAAGACTGCACGGCATTTCTCAAAGCCTGACTTTTTCAGATCCCACAGGGGCCAATGAGTACACGTCTGTGGCTGTATGCTCCCAGCCCCTGTGTAGTAGCAGTTTTGCAGCAGCGCTGCATTACTATGTCGCAGCAGTGAGACAAGCTGAAATAGACCCCACGCGAGCTGTCTGCCCGCGTCTGACGTCTTAGCAGCGCCCAACCGCAAATGGGACTCATTACCCAAACGGCCAGCCTTGAAAGGCCAGCCTGCGGACCCTATCACAAGT